TTGTTGTAAGTCATAAATATCTGGATGCGGAATATGGTGTTTGCTCGTGCGATGAAATCACTCGGTGCACAGATCGAACGGCTTATTTGTGAAGGAACGCAAGTGCAATAAGCTCTCCACGGCACTGGTGTCCTTTTTCAAGAGAGGGATTCATCATTTAGTCAACACACGAGGCTTATCGGTTGACAACGCACGCCGTATGTCGAGATAATTAAAAATCTTTCTGCGTTCACGCGGTGGCCTGTTATTTTTAATTGGGCGTCGCTGAGTGAAAAGGAGGCGACCAGAGCCGAAAGAGCTTAGTTTCCTTACAACGTTGCAAAGTTTCACATACTAATTTATTCCTTTGTTCGTGAGGTGGTGGACATTTTCCTTTGAAATTTTTTTTTCATTTTAATTCGGTCAAAATTCGCTGATTTTGATGAAGAATCTGTTAACGAGTAAACGAATAAGTTTTCTAATGAAATTTTGCGACAGTGAACCGAAATAACAACTCTATTTAAACGGCAGAAGGGGAATTTTTCATGAGCAAAAAATCAACTTTGTTGATCAAAGTCAACGTTGATTTCGGACTAAGCAACCGAATAGAGGGTGCCATCAAGATACATAGTGAATTTTAGTACTTGCTTTCAGAAAGTGTGTGCATAAAATTGGTCCTTGCTGGTAGGAAAGTGGCGTCCCTCAATATTATCCTCCAAGAATATATAATTGAAAATTATTTTCGAGTGAAAATAATCTCACGATGACGAGTAATCAATGATTCTAATATTTGAGCCAGTAAAAATGTAAAAGAAAATTATGGGAAATACGATTATTTTCAGTCGCGGTAAATAGAAAGAAAATAAACTTTTTAAATTATTAAATTACCAGTAAAAGAAAAATAAAGCTTTAATTGCAACAAAGAACGGGCATTAAGGGTAGGTATTTTTTAGGATTTTGGAAGGAAATATTTCAAACAGTTTCCTAATACGGCGGTCACCCCACCCCTTCCTCTCCATCCCTTGACAATCTTTTACGTGTCAGTTTCCGAGTCCGATTGACATACATATATGTTGGTCAATCTTTTAGACTTTCCAAGACCCATCGTAAAGTGCTTTCGTGCAACATCCCTGCAAAATAAGTTCGTCGACAACTGCAATGAATTTCGAAACACATGTGTTACCCACTCGCTGCAGGCTGATTTTTTTCCGCGTCGATATCCGAGTCGATAAAGTTAGCGACTCACAGATAACGACTAAATTCGAACGACGTCCTTTAGCCGAGCGATTATTTACATCGAATTTCGCTGATCGTTACTCATCGTTCGATAACTTAGCGTCGTTAAGTTAGCGATTTCTACTTTTGACACTAACGACGGCGTTAACGTAACGATTTCAATACCAACGCGGAAAATAATCAGCCTGCTGGTCAAAAAATCATAGAATTTAGCGTTATATATTTCATATACGTAGGGAACACTTAACAGCCACGTAGCACTCACATCGTGAGAAATCGAATCTGATCGAGTAAGATTCTTCCAGATCCTGGAGGTTCCCTCATCAGCAGAGCCATCGGCTTGTANNGGGGGGGGGGGGGGGGGGGGGGGGATGCACGGATAAAAAAAACCTCGAGCCGGGCGGCCATTTTCAAGCGGAGAGCGCCGTCTTATTAAAGGAGCTCTTTGTCTCTCCACCTCCTCTCTTTCGGAGGCGAGCCGCAACCCCGGTCCCCCTCCCTCCTCTTCGGCGGCCCCGGCCGAGGGCCCCCTCGACGGTTAATCCTCCAATAATCAACCAGATGTCTTGGCCCGATACCATTCGCCGCACCGCGCTCCGGCCGTGGCGGGCCCCGCACCCCGAGTCGCTGGAACTGGATGAAACCCAAGAGGGCGTACTCCCTTGCCCTTCTCGCCCCGACGGCAACTCCCCACCCGTGGAAATACCCCCCCCCCCCNCCCCCCCCCCCCCGTCCACGACGTCGATCGCTTCAATGTTGCCGATGCGATAATTGTGAAATTTTTTGCCCTCTAAATTGTTCTTCTTATAAAATTATCCTGTAATAATACAAATTCACTTAATTTAATCATCCATGGACAAGAAGCATTGGAAAAGAACGCTGGAAAAAAAAAAAAAAAAACACATTGGATCTAGAGTCCAGACTCTTAAATACATCGACAAGAAAAAATACTCTTGATTCAATCAGATTTAAGCTTAAATCAAGAAGCAAGTCTCTTAATTTGAGCGGATTTCCTTTTGATTTAAGCTTAAATCTGATTTAATCAAGATTCCTTTTTCTTGTAAATATTTTCAAGAGTCTGGACTCTAGATCCAATGTGTTTTTTTTTCCAGTGAAAGTTGCTTGGATCTAGAGTTTAAACTTTTAAAAACACTGACAAGGAAAAATACTTTTGATTCAATCGGACTTTTTGCTTCAATGAAAAGGAAATCCGTCTCGATCTAAGGAGAAATCGGATCGAATCAGTATTTTTTCTTGTCAATGTTAGCAAGAGTCTGGACTCTAGATCCAAGCTACTTTTTTTGTAAGGGAATCTTAGTGGACTAAGTTTTTTTCAGTGAATATTTTTTCGTTCGATTGGAGCGGAAAGTGGAAACTGCGAGTCATGTTTCCACGGTCTAAATCAAAATGGGGCATTAATACTGCAGTTGAGTGTTGCCAATCAAAATTAAGAGTCACCTCTTCGTTTTGATCAACATCAATCGCGAACAGAGTAAAGAATGAATGTCTAATCATACTCAATTCGCGATTTATGTCGATCAAAAAGTATAAGCGTCTCTTAATTTTGATCGGCAATACTTAAGGATCAGCCGTGAAAAGTGGAAACGTATAGTGTTTGACGGAAAGCGCTCTCTAATCTTATTAGCTTTGTCCACTGTTTTGCTGGTAGATTTTAAAAGTTAATTGGTACAAAAACCGACGATTAGACGTATTTTCGGTGAAAGGAATTATCTTGCACGCATTCTCAATGTACATAGTTGCTTTTAGCATTGCTATGTTCAATTTTGAGCCACGAATATGTTTTACAAAAACACGTTTCCTCGAACCTATGTTTTTTGAACTGCGAACTTTTAATGCGGCGTATACATCAAGTTTGGTTTGATGTTTTGGGCGGTTTTTGCACTTAAATATATCTGGCTTTTTGGAGTAATCTTATGTTTTCGAACAGACGGACATAGTTCATAAAAACGTCTTATTTGCTTATGACCGTCTTAAAATGACCATTTGTATTTTATAAACTCACCAATCAAAATGGGCTCATACACAACGTTAAATATTTCTCTGAACATTTGTCACTTTCCTAGTCTATTTTGTTCCTTGTAATTTTACATAAGTATTGTTATTTGTTATGTTTATCATTGAAATATTACTCAATTCAATGGATTTTATTTGTTTTGATTCTGCGAAACCATTCGACCAACTTTTCAAGAAAGTACACATCAGTTTTGTTACCAAAGCCATAACTGGCGCTGCCACAAAGGGCGTCTTTCATACTCTTCATACTCATGCGTTGAGAATGAAGTTCCGATTAAAATCCCCTAAGTCCCATCAAATCGGGCCCAGAGGTCAGCAGTTTCGGTTGCGGGAGACGTATAGCTTTGACTACTGCAGGTTCAGTGGTCGGAGCAACGGCTACTGCACCCGGAACGTTCGGCCTCTGGGCTCGAAACAGACGGTATGTCTATATTGCCCATAAGTACGGCTTTCACAGACGGAGTTTTTACCCAATGTAGTATCTGTTCCCAAGTAACAGTCTTTGTCCAAAAATAACAAAGAGGTTTTTTGAACTGCCAAAGTCCAATGTTAGATTGAAAAAAAACTCCGACAGTGGAAGCCGTACGTACGGGTTATGTAGACTTTGTGTCCGCGTTTCGGGCTCAGAAGCCGAAACATCCTGGCACAGCATCCAGAGCAATCGAAGCTACGCCTCCAGCACCCGGAAGTTTCGGTCTCTGAGCCTGGAACGGACGGTATGTCCATATACGAGCTCCGTAGACATGGCGTCCACGTTTCGGGCTCAGAAGCTGAAACTTCCCGGCTTAGCACCTGGAACAATCGAAGCCACGCCTCCAGCACCCGGAAGTTTCGATCTCTGAGCCCGGAACGAACGGTATGTTTATATACGAGCTACATAGACATAGCGTCCGTGTTTCGGGCTCAGAAATCGAAACTTCCTGGCATAGCACCCGGAGAAATCGAAACTACTCCTCCAGCACCCGTAAGCTTCGGAGCCCGTAAGCGTCTCTGAGCTCGGAACGGATGGCATGAAGCCCGTAACTTCTTTTTTTCAAAGTAACTTTGGGGTCAGAGAACTACTATGGAGTAGAGTACCTGTATAGGGAGAGTACCGACGGATCTGAAACTCCGAAAGTCCATCAGGCCTTCACCGATGCCTCCACGAATAAAGTTAGGGCCCAAAAGGGCAGCCAACCTATGAATTTCAATTATCCAGAGCGATTTACTGATACTATTGTTACGAACCGTCCTTCATTAAGCACGTGTTTGACTCAGTTTTTGCATAAGTTTACTCAATTTCGCGGAAGAACGCTCATTTCTGTACATTCTTGGCCATCTTGGTTAGTAGAATTGGAATCTGCAGACTGGCAGTGAAATTTTGTGCGTTAGAAGTTGGTTAGAAGGGTGGCTGCACTTTTGGGCCCTAAGCCCTCCATGAACCGATCCGTCGGTACTCTCCCTATACAGGTACTCTACTATGGAGTAAAGCAATTTTAGAAATTTTCGAAGTTGGTTCGTTCTGAGAGCGACGGATTCAATTTTGCAACATGGCCGGAGTTAATCCCTCCGCGCCTAGTTATGTCACCCGGGTCAAATTTTCAAAACTGTCGATGGAGCGCGGGCGCGGAGCCTGTCTCGCTGAGAGGTAAGGCTCGCTGTTGCGTGTAGTTATTCAGTCATTGCTGTCCATTGTCTTAGCGATAAGGTCTCACCTCTCAGATCTCGCATCTCGCATCTCACATCTCACGTCGGACGGGATTATGTTGCAGGATTTTTGGGGCGATGGCGAGCAGCTACCTCAAGAGCCAGCCAGTTCTTCCTCCCCACCCACAGTTCCACGGCGCGGCCGTCCCCTACGGATTAGCCCGTCTCGATGCCGGGGTCGGCTATCCACAAGGTACGTCAATTCCATATTCTCCTTCCTCTTTCTCGCCTCTGCCTCTCCGGCTCGCTTGTCACTTGTCATTCCCGCTTCATCTCGCCCTCGCGCCACCACCAGCATGCCCAGTCTACTTACCTCTCGTTTACCAGGATTTTCCATCTTGTTACGGATGAGTTACGTAAAAGCCAGCGCAACGTTCGCCTCGGATTCTCTTCAGAGCGGGGTGCTTGGAGCTTGACTCCCGAGCTAAGGAAAAACCACGTATGAGCCCTCAGTACTGCCGTCCTAAGGAAGAACGCCATTAGAACATTTGGACGTATTTCTATCAAACGGAACTATGTGCATTAAGACGTGAGCCCTGAGACCCATAAGAATATGTGCGTAACAGGGCTCACGTCATAATGCACATAGTTCCGTTTGATAGAAATACGTCCATTTGGGAGTTGCCAAATTTCCCCAGATTACTTTGTTTTACGTTTAAATACTTTTTTCTCTTAAATCAAATTGCAAGTGAAAGTTTCTGGAAAATGACAAGAAAAATTTCCGGAAGATTACTTGAAACATTTTCTTTTATCAAAGAAAATTCTGCAACACCTCAAGGCTTATCTGGCGTTCTTCCTTAGCACGGCAGTTGGGGCCAAAGTGGCTTCAAGGAGAAATGCAGATGATGGGGACATTTTGCATGATCTAGAAGCGCCATAAACACATTTAGCAAGACACAAGTGAGCAAGAAGAGGCGTTTTAGAGGAGTTCTTAAAATATATTAAATTTTGCTTATTATCTATGCATGGATAGTTTGATCAGCTATCAAAGTGGAATGTCTCCTCCAGTACAGCCTGAACTTTGAGTTTTTTTGTAGAACTTAAAAATTGATATCGGAGGTAACCAGTGGCATCATCGTATACCTTGCGAAATTTTGCATATGATTGAGGTACTTAAATCGCAAATCCCAAACACATGCAAGAAGTCGACTACTGCCTGATATTTCAAGTATTCAGAATGTAAACTTCACATGAAACATTAATGCCAAATAAGGAGCCAATCATAAAAAATTCACTCGATTTGAACGTTGTAAACAGGCTGCAGATCGTTCGAAACAAACCCACTGCATGAAAATCCGGGCAAAAGGGGTGTAAACGGGAAGGCGATGTTTCCCCCGCAGATCGGACCCGAAAGTTGCGTAGCCGCGGGGATGAGACGCGAAAGCTGGGTGTCGGGGGAGCCGGCGGGGCGGGGTGGGGCGGGGCGGAGAGGGGCGCGGGGCTAAAAAAGTCAGGGCGCTAAAGTGTCAGCGTGACGTTGTAGCGTTGTAGCGGCGCGTGATTTTGTTTTTGTTAGCAACCGTTCATTGGTTACAGAGTAAATACGGGCCCCGCACTCGCGGCCCGCGCTGAGACAAAGATTGAATTAGCCAACTACATAGCATCGCACTTTCCGTTTCACCCAGCACGTGTTGTTTTTGAACCCCCTCCCTCTTTCGCGCCCTTGTCGCCCTACTCACCCCTTCCAGCTTATTCCGCTTATTTCCACCCACTTGCCTCGCGCCGCGCCGCCGATATCCATGGGTCCTCCATGTCACGCCAGTGTTGCGCGGAAAGGAAAAAAGAAAAAAGAAATACTCTGGACCACTGAATTTTGACTCACTTGGCCCTGCAAATTTTTTGATTATGAAAGCCAACTTTTGGCCCAGTTTCTCGTAGTAGTTGGTGAATTTCAGAGGCTCGTATTAAATCGAGATGTTCTCTCACGAAGTTTTTGTCTCCGTTTGCAGCTATTTTTAAAGTTTCAAAGTATTTACTCAAAATTAGAACTTCTTTCAATAATATTTTTTAAAAAACTCATTTCTTCTCTTTTTACAGAATTTAATTGCGCACAATGAATTTTGCCTCCCCCCCCCCCCCCCATTCGACTACCGTATAGAGAGACACACTTTCGATGTGGACTTGTCAAGAGTTTTTTTTTTCGTCAAGATAAAAAAACAGTTATTTAAGTTTTTAACAAAGTAACTACACTCTCTAGTGCCACAAAAACAAGTAACAAGGGCATAAGTCCATATTTTTGTTTACATAGGAGACAAATGAAGTCATATTCCGAGGTGTTAAAACCGCGAAATTGGCAGATTTTTTAGCTGCAAATATAATATGACGATTAAATAGTGACATGACTTGTAGAGTCTGACGTTTCGCTACTTTTTTGTGTAAGAATATTTGCGACTAACAGATCCATGCTGTATTTACAATTTCTCGCTCTTTAGTTTTTCGGCATTAAAGGATCCCTTTTAAATAAACCAAGAAAGTTTTCCCTCTTCGGAGTTCCCCCACAACGGAGCATGCACAGTAAAATTTGTATGAGACAATCCATAGCACCAAATAACACACCGAATCTTTCAGAGGCTTTCTAAAAACGACAGTTTTTAAATGTAAACGTCAAATCGTTATACTTTTGTTTTTATTTGGCAGGTCTGCGTGTTTCACATTAAAATTTTAATTAAAATCACCTTAAGCTGCGATATAAATGACTTAGTATTAGATTTACGGTACTCGGACTCCCCTCCGCACAGAATCTCACATTTTTTTATTTATTTATTTTTTCATTTTTAGAAAAAAAGGCAACTTGAATAGAAATGACTTTGCCGCCAAGTGCCACGGCTCTTCACTATTCGACCGCTTTTCAAACTTGTAAAGCACTCTTCACTCAATGACATACCACGGAGCGGCGTTCTCCGAACCCCTAGCACCGAGGTCGCGTGCGACTCACCGCAGCTTTTGCCTAAAGCCCCCCCCCCCNCCCCCCCAATCGGTCCACCTGCTATGCAACTGCTGTAAGTGCACAACTGAATCATGCAACCCGCTGCCCTAGCGTTATCAGAAAACTTCAGAGATCCATATGACCTCAAATTCGGGTCCCACGCACGAAGTTTTTTTCTCCGTGCAGAACCAATTAACGAACATTCTTGGAAACGCCTGTAATTTTACTCCTCCCGCGACGAAAGCTTTGTAAAAGCTCTAGGTAAAGAATTCGGACAATTTCCTATCGATGAAATAAAATAGGAGTAGAATTTTGAAACACTGCAATCGCGATGCACGGTCTTCTAGTTTAGACGTCGATATGCAATCACCGAAATTCCTCAAAATGGTGAATTTATCCGAAGAAGGACCCCCTCCTCCTCTGACCCTCATTAGTATCTGGAAGCTCTGACCTCGTTCTGTCTCGAACTCAAAAGCCAGCTGTTGAAGCATAAGGGAGACCCTCGCAGGGAAGTCAAAAGGAAGGGATGAGGAAAAGCACTGCTTCATGAAGTTGGGAACTCCGGCGTGCGGCGTCGCTGCTTAAGATTGACAGTGAATCTGATTCGTTTTTATGATGCACGCTTTGCGAGCTTCGGGGTCTCCTCGTGGGGAGTTCCCTGTCTCCCTTAACTCTGAAGGGACTTGATCCGCTTATCAAGCTTACCGGCCACATCCACGCCTGCTCCCTCCCCCGTTCCGCCCCCTCTTCCGCCGAAACCCTGATTGTTTCCGGATCAACTTCCGATTTCCGCCAGGGTAGCTGGAACGTTGCCACGGAGAACCCTTCCACTTATTGATTGTGACTTTCCACGAGATAAAGGATATCAGTATCGCGAAATTTGAAATCGAGGTATTGACACCACAGTTTCAGGTCGATTTGTCCACTTCATCGATTTGTTCGTCTTATTTTTAATCAATGAATATATTGCTCTAAACGCAAATTTTGTCCGATCAACACTTGTCCATCACAGTAACTAGTCTAAGACATTAAATCGTCACCTTCCAGGCAAAGTATCACAAGCGCCATGCGACGTTTAAAAATTTCCGCCGCCATTTTATTTCTTTACTGAGAAATTGCTGGTTGAATCTGTTTGGAAATTTCACTAAATTCTATCGGCAGCACAAAGAAAATTCAGTGCAATTTTCGGACAGCTTCGTTGAACAATTTCTCTGTAAAAAAGTATAATGGCGGCGGAAATTTTTAAACGTCGCATGGCGCTTGTGATACTTTGCCTGGAAGGTGACGAAATAGTGATATACAACATTGCATATCGAGGACTAGAGAAAAAACCGCCCAACTGACAATTCTGGCAAAAATGAATTAGCGACTTTGCCGCATTCTACGGTATAAAATACCGAAGCTGGTTTTTTCAGCTTGTTTTCCAATTTTGTCGGCTGTAATGCCTGTAATATAACTCAAAATTACAAAAAAGGCGAAGTTTCTCTTCGTCCTGCAAAATTGTCAGTTTGCTAATAGGTGGTGTTGTTCCTTAGCCATCGATAAGCAATGAAGTTCCTTCATGTTTTACCTGCGTTGAAATCGAAAGTTACAAACCGATTCCCCCGCAGAAAGTTACAACCGGAGTTTCAAAATTTCATGAATTTTCTCGCAAAAAGAATGCTCAGCATCGGGAAAGTTTTCAAGACGTGACGCTGAGTATTTTCTTTTTTATTCAAAGAGTAAATTATAACAGTAAGTCTGCAGCGTCTCAAACGCGCTCGTGTAATTTCTTTGTCGTTGTCCCATCAGTTTCCCCGTGCAGGTAGTTTACCTCACAGATGCGCCAAGTAAAGCAGTTCCCCTTTGCAAAATGCAGTCCATGTTTGTTGCTTCTTTTGCATGTATGGTACTTCCTGGATTAAAATATCTAATAATTGGCCTTTCTTCTTCACTGCTTTTGGTAGGCGAGGAAAATAACAAAATCGCATCATAGACAAGTTTCTCATCCTCGACGAGCCTTCCTCAAAGAATCAGAAAATTTCGCCGCAGTCAAGTGGCCAAACTATAAAGATACTTAATCCAATTGAATCCAATTCACTCGTAAGTTTCGGATCGTTCCGTAACTCACAGATCACCTACGACTTTAGCTTCCTGTTCTTTCGGCCCGAGCTGTTTTCTTCGGTTAATCCTCGCAAAGGAAGAAAAAAGATAAAAGTTAAATTGTTTCCATGCGATCGAAACTCTTCCTTTTGCCGGCGGACTTATCCCGGTATTAGGGAAGCTTA